GCAGACTTCCCGGCACGGTTCTTTTATGCTGGGGCGGGAACCGTGCAGAAATAGTAGCTCCGTTATAACTGCATTTTAGCAAGCACGCTGTGCGTCATTTTGCGTGGAAGCTTTTTGTATCTTACGGCTTAGACTAAAGAGACTGAATCTGGAGTATCTTCCCTAAGTTTTTTTCTTTTTGTCTGCCTTGTTAAACTGCTCTTTGCTCTTATGGCTGAACTGCTGTAGGGTTTTGATGTAAAGTGTTTGCAGAAATGGGCAGGATTGAATATAATGGGGAACTTGGAGGTGGTTTCAAGGTATGTTTAGTGAGACTGTGCTTATTGCTGTATAAAATGTGTGAAGACCTCTTAAAATGAGAGACTTCTTCCAATTAAAACAACTAGCTGTAGTGCTCTTTGCTTTGTTTAGACAGAAATACCGTACCTTCTTTTCTTTCTTTGAAAGCAGCCTAGACTGGTTGAAGTTTTAAAATTTCCTAACCCTCTTAATTAACACAGCTTTTTTTTTTTTTTTTTTTTAGTGGTTTTGTGTCTGAAAATTGTTTATTTTAATTTTTGGGTTTTATTTTAGGCTTCAGGCAGGTATGTGATGGTATAGAATTTTGCCTGTTTAGTGTAAAACATCAGGGGTTTGAAACCCTTAGGTTGGAGAACCTTCAGGTCAAGAATTTCTTAGATATTTGTGATGCTATCATGATTATGTTGTGTCTTGTCTGAAATATCTTGATGGCTTAAGAATGTTACGCTTTTGAGGTAATACAGTATTTATACCTTTGCCTGTATGAAGCATTGGTCAAAATAAGAAGTCAGGCTTGAAAACAAGAGGGCTTACTTTTTTCTGCATGCCCCCAGACACTCCCCATCCCCTGGATGGAACCTAAAATCTGTATACTGGCAAGCGGGGGGAAGGGGGAGGGAGGGGAGTCATACCATTCCATCCATTTCTAAAGAGTACCGGAATACATCAAGTACCATCTCTTAAAAACGTCATTGGTATGTGCTGGTAAAAAGGTGTGTTAGGCCCCCTCTTTCTGTCTTCCTCCAAGCAGCCCATTCAGCAGCGGGTTCCGAGCTGTGTGCACTTGAGGCTGCCAGGCTGGCAGCGTTACTGTATGCGTGCGCCTTACCCCGTACGTGGTGGTTGTAGCTTTGTAGCATGGGGTCCAGCTGCATCAGGTCACCTTTCCATTGCTCTTCAATAGGAGCCATGCTCCTGTGCTTCAGAGATACAGGGCAAGACAGAGACTCGCACCCAGTCCTAACTTCCAAAATGGCTGGAAAAAGCTGTGTGTTACACTGAGTGGAGTATATCTTATGTAGTCTGCTTTAGACTAGTGATTCCCAGCTTCCAGATTCCCAAGTCTGATAGAAAGACCAAGCAGATACACCAAGTCGGCCCCTGTTCAGGACATCATAAGGCCAGTCATTGCTTTTCTGTGTCACTGTGGCAGAGGTGGGAGAGCTGGAGAGCACCACACAGAGAAGCTCTTCTTGTTCAAAGCCCTGATGTTGCTGCCTGGAGCTGGTAGTAGTAGCAGCATGAGAGTCGGCTCTCCTGGGGCGGGATTGGGCTGGGGAGTTAGATCTGCTGATAAATGAAACATTAACATGTCCTACTTAAGAAAACAGTCAATAAAAGTTTGGAAATGTTTCCTCTCAGTAGATCGAGAAAGCCTTTCATACTGCACTGCAATTGTACTAAAACAACAGGCTTCAGTGCAAATGGTGACATTGTCCTGTGGAAATGGGTGACCTTAACTCTGGTCTTCAATGACATGGTGATACCCCTTTCCATAGGAGCTTGTTCTAGCCCATCACCAGTTCTTATGGAAGCTACAGCAGTATAAAAATGCTTGGAATTGTTCTATTATTTGTAAGAGATACAGAGGAGAGAAATAACAGTGTTGAGTAAAATAATGTTGACAGGTGAGTGTAAGGCTGTGTATATATCTTTAGTATGATGATCAATATCCTGTCTTCACTTAAGCTGCATTTTTGTATTACTCTCCATGTACTGGATGTAGAGTCATTCAGCAGCCAAATAGTCTTACATTTGCATTAGAATTTATTTTATCTAGCTTTCTCAACTAATGAAAAAATGACTTCTAACTCATTTTGTACCTGAGTTACAAGGGTCTAACAGTAACTCTGCAGATAACTGAAGTCGTGCATCTGAAATGGCATAACCCTGTACCACCAGACAGGTGAAAAGCCAGCTGGCTCGGAAGCAGATTTGTGGGAAAGGAGCTGGGAGTCCCCACAGTCAAGTTGAACATGAGTCAGCAGTTCTTGCAGCAAAGGCGGCCAACAGCATCCAAGAGTGTAGCCAGCAGATCGAGGGAGATGCTTCTTCCTCTCTTCTCAGCCCTGCTGAGGTGCACCTGGAGTACTGTGTCAGGTCTGAGCTCCCCAGGACAGAAGAGACGTCGACATACTGGAGTGAAGGGTTATGGAAACAGTTCAGGGAGCTGGAGAACAGGAGGTTGAAAGAGCTGGGATTGCTATGCCATAAGAAGAGAAGAATCAGGGGTGATCATAGTGGTGTCTGTTATCTACTTAATGGGAGGATGTAGAGAAGAGAGTCCGACCCTTCTCAGAGCTGCACCGTGAAAGGATGAGAGGGACAATGGATACAAGCTGGAACACAGAGAAATCTGAATAGATACCCTTGACTGGGCAGCTTTATGAGCGCCCTCATCTAGTTGGTCCTGCTTTGAGCAGGGCATTTTACTTGTTAGTCCTGGAGATCCCTTATAACCTAAATTATCCTGTGACTGTAATAAGAAACATACTATTCATTTATTTCATGAGTAACCCCATTGGAAGAAAGAGCGACAGGTGAACATGATTTTGAAAACTAATTCCTAAATCAAGCGTGTATGGTTAAGCTAAATTGTAAGAGGAGTAGTATTACATTAATGTATCTGAATATAGGCTATTTATTTATGTGTCTGTTAGGCAAACTACAGAAGATTGTAAGTAGACTTGATTGCTAAAGTTTAATGGCACATACGCTTGGTGAAAGGTTAATGGTATTCGGGCAGAAATGCAAATTTATGGATATAAATATATTTAATAGTAAGTGTTAAATGGCAGTTCTTTTGAAGCTTTCCTTTTCCAGGCTTGGTTAGCAGTGTAGGACCTTTCAGAGCATTATCAATCTATTCTTGAAAGAAAGAGATAGTAGTAATTTGCCTCTCCAGGGGTATTTTCCCTAATATATTTGCTGATACTTTTTTAAAAAATAAGTCCAGGAATGGCTATGTTGGCTCGTATTCATTAGCTTTTTTTATATGGACAATGGATTTTCTTAATTTTGGTGCTAGCTTTTGTCATACAATCTGTTTAAAGAGACTGCAGGTTTAATCAATAAAAGTGACCGCATTGATTTCATAGCACGTCTCTGCTTTTCATATAAGCTTGGTGCAGGAGGCCCTGAGTTGCCACTTGTATCAGCAACATGCTGAATCCAAGCTAATACGCCTTGCCTCTTGTAAAAGGAGTCCATCTTGAGAAACATAAGGATTCAGACTACTTAATTTATTTAGGAGAAAGGTAAGACATAATTTGCTGGAAAGCTTATTTATGATTATCTATTAACGGTAAAAAACTTTCTGATTAGTGAAAAAACAAGATAGAGACTAAAAGGTGCCATTTATTCCTACGGTGAAGTTAAATACTGTTGAAAGAATTGGTCTAGGGCTTTCGTATGTAATCTTTTACCAAAATCTTTGTAACTAACTCCACTGAGACGCACACACTCAGATTTTTGTCTAGGTTTAACTTGATCTCATTGGTGGTGGTTTTTTTTTCCTAATTGTGTTGGTATTTCAGTTTATCAAAAGCGGCATTGAGTACAAATTAACATGTTATAAATTCCATTATAAAACTAGGTGGATAGTGTTAATGCATTACATATCTTAAGGTTTTATATAAACTTCTTCAGCAAAGAGAAGCAATTCAAGCTTGAAATTTTTATAGAAGAAATATTAAAACTTTTTAAAGAAATTTGTTTCATAACTGTCAGAAAATCTACTTCAGTAAAATGACTGGGAATTTATGATTTGTACGTCGTAGCTGTGGTTCTGAAAAAGATCTAGATATTATAAATATTTTGGATAAAACCACTCCAACCATTTTTACAACCTACTTAGTCCAGTGTGTGATGCAGATGGAAATAATTCTGGGAATTCTTATGTCAACATTGGGTTGAACTCCCGTGATACTAATTTCTGTATACATAAAGCAATACATCCACTGAGACCCCCAAGAATTGAGTAGGTGATGCAATACTATGCTGTATTGTGTTAAGTGTTGGGTTTCTTTCTTGCAGGGTAAAATTCTCTACAAAGTACGGTGGAAAGGATATACCTCCGATGATGATACCTGGGAACCAGAGGTTCATTTGGAAGACTGCAAAGAAGTGCTGCTTGAATTCAGAAAAAAGATTGTGGACAATAAGCCTAAGCCTGTTAAAAAAGACATACAGGTGTGTTTCACGTTCCAGGATTTTACACTGAAGGCGCATTCCCTATCTAGGCTCTGCTAATGGCGTTAGGGAAAAGGGAAGACATTTATATAGAATTAAGATGACTTAAATAATCTCTTTGATCTAAAAGTGTTTTGTTTCATGTGAAACTGAATATTGTTGCTGATCTCGAGTTAGGGATTTTTTTGTTAATTGACAAGTTTGCTTGTAGGTTCTAAATCCATCTAAACGTTATCTCAGTTTTTAACAGGACTAGATAAATGCTGTATGGTCATTTTAGTTTGTTTCTGACATCTCCCCTTTCACTACCCACATGTCAGTGAAGCTGGGCACTGTTCAGTTCACCCTCCTGCTTTGTGTAGTGGATTGGTGAATTTTTGCATGTTAACCATTAAATTTGGTAAGATAGGAATACAGAAAAATTAACTGCTTTTTCTTTTCTTTTTTAATGGCTCAGTTAGTTTGAAAATTAAGCGTAAGAATCTTCTTTGAAAACTGGTGCCATACTTCTGGGAAACCTATAGGTAAATGTTACAAAATCAGGTTAATTGTTTTTCATGGAAAATAGTTCAGATTTAGTTCTGTTCTGGAAGTTGGATGTCTGATTGGTTATTGGTTATTGGTTTACTTGATTTGTTTATGTATTCATTCTCATCCAAGCAGTTAGTAATGTAATTTAGGTAAGTGAGCTAGAATTTTATTTACAAATTTTACTATTTGGCAATGAGGAATGATGTTTGCAGTGGTAAAAAGACTAAAGTGTTTAAAAATTTACTTTTCCCAAGCACTGCTACTGCCATTTTTGTATAGTTTACACCAAAGTGATAGAGTTTAATGGGGAAAGAAATACTTTCTTTTTTTTTCCCTACCTTTTAGAAACTATCTCTAAATGATGATGTATTTGAAGCAGAATCTGACAGTGACTGGCAAAGTGAAACAAAAGATGATGTTTCACCAAAGAAGAAAAAGAAGAAGTCAAAAGATGGAGAGGACAGAAGTCCAGATGATCTGAAGAAGAAAAAGTCGAAGTCTGCAAAACTGAAAGAAAAACGCAGAACAGAATTTGAAAATTCCTCAGATACTTTGGTTTCAGATTCAAAACCAAAAAAAAGGACTTCAGAAACCAAGGAGGATTCAAAGGACCCGAAGAAACAAAGGAAAGAAGATACTAAAGAAATCAAGAAAAAGAAGGGAGACATTAAAGAGTTAAAAATAAAATCTAAAGAAGAAAATAGAAAATCACGGAAGGAGAAGCATGGAGATGTTCAGTTTGACTCAGAATCAAGTACTCTAGATGATGTATTTTCTCAAGGAACTGATAATGAAAATTCAGACTTAAATTCTGAAAGTAAAGATGAGAAGCAAAAGGTACTAAGTGGAGAAGAGAGGTTGGAACAAGAAATTGCTGAAAAAGATTCCATTGCTGATAGGTATCTTGATGGGTCAGGAAGTAATGAAGATGATAGTATTGATAATAAGGTTAAAAGAAAGAAGAAAAAAATTCAGAAAGCTGAAGATTATAGAGAGGAAGGTAGAAAAGTGGAAACTCAAGATACCTATTTAGAGAAGAAAAGCATGCACAAAAAGCAAAAAGGTCAAGAAAAAGTAAAAATGGCACCTGGAGAGTTAGAGAAAGTGTCACCTGCTCCTTCACCAGTGCAGAAGGGTTTGAAATTGAGCGCTGATGAAAGAGGGCCCAAATCCACGGATTCACCTGGGGAGGTAAGCAATGTTAGGGCATTGGGGTGGGGGCTGGGGATTAAATCAAACATCTTTGAGGTATGGGTATCTCTATAGTACGGGTATCTATCTGGCAGAGAGAAAAATACAAATTGGAAAGTTAATGAGCTGGATGAAGCTAAAGAAGGGGCCACAGCACAATGTATAGGAGAGACTGAAAAATTTCTGGATTCTGAAAACTATAAAGGAGGGAAAATTCAGGAGAGAAGAGTGTCTTTAAGTGTGAAAGTAGGAATTTTTCCAGTTTGTACTTAGAATGAAATTTAATGTTCTACCAAAGCATGCTGTCATTTTTAGCTTTATTTCCCCCACCTTCAACAGTTGCCTCAGTTTGACGTTTTTCTACTTGTGTAGTAAGACGTTCAGTCTTGAGCAACTGTCCATCCATCACTGCACTATGAAGTGCACTTTTGAGCTAAAACAGACACTTCATCTCCCTCAAAAGCCAGACACTCTGCTTTATCTTAACGTGGGTTAGCACCTACCTGAGAATTGGAATGCTGAAATCACTTCTAAACCCAAGTCTCCCATCCCAGATAATCGTGCAGCTGGCTTGTCTTGTTAGAATTCCTGGGGTGCCTACAGAAAATGCTTGGTTTCATGATGTGTTTTCGTGTTAATTACAAATGCTGTACCTGTTCTAAGAAATGAGCTAAGCAAATACTGGAATATTGGTTTTTCCTTATTTAATACAGTAGTGTTTTAAGAAAAGCAGGATGGTAAAGGTAAAAGAAAAAAAATAATGGAAAAAACCCCCAACATTTCTGGAATGTTTCTGAGGATATTTCTTTCAGCTGCTTCAGACTGTTCAATACAGTTTGCAGTTCATAAAACTTTGGCTGCTCAGAGAAACCCCTTTCTGATTTCTAAGAGGATTGCGGCCAAAACACCTTGATACTTACTGGTTTATATCCCACTTATGAGGCCATAATTCCATGGCAGCAAGTTTCTCCTGTAGGTTCAGCTGTGGTCCTCTGCTTAAGATTGTTTATGTATGGAGGGTAGGCCACCTTGAACATAAGGAAGTTGATTTTGGGGCAGAGAATTACATGGCATAATTGCAGAGTAGAGCTACACAAAATAGTGTTTTTGCAGGAGCTTAGTGGTTAAAACTCTTGTAAACAAGGTTAAGTAATTACTACGAGGCATAGCCCAGTTTCAAAAAGTAATTTAATTAACTGAAATGGTATGGCACTTTATTACTCAAGTATTTTCTCGTCATTCGAGGCTATAGCATTCATATGAGAGAGATATTGGTGATGATAATCAGATAAATCTTTGGAATTCTGTTTTATTTAGCAGTAGTATACAAATCCTGTAACCCCAAACATGAAGAAATCAACAGCAGATTAAAGTTGGTTGCTTATGGCTCTTCAGCCAGCACTCTCAGTCAGTTTTCTGTATGCCTTTCTCATGGTCGTGCGCCATGGAAGGTCATGCTCCATGGCAGGTCATGGTCCAAGGTGCCAAGGAAGCAAGGAAGGCATTCTGCTTTTTCTTTTTTTAGTCTAGGAGGCTTAAACAATGTTTTCTGTAACTGGTTAGTTATTCTCCAGAGCAGCTGTGGACTTACTGTATGGGTGGGTTCAGTGGAAAGTTCTGGAGATTTTTTGGCTTCACTAAATTGTTGGCCCAAGCAGATTATTCTTTTCAAATAAAATCATTGCGTATGTTTCAGCTACCTGTCTTTCCTTATGTAGCTCTGATTACAGAACACTGTCGTGTCAATTTATGATACAGTATTCTCTGTTGGAAGTCAGTTCACATGCCTGAACCATTGTTTCCATTCGATTTGTGTCCAAAAATAAATATGCAGCGTACACTGTGCATCTGATCAGTATTGGAAATCTGGAATAGGATTCAGGATTACTGTTTTTTAACAGCCCTTCTGTGTGGCAGATATCTGGTAATCCCTTTAGTAAGTTACAGGTCTTCTAAATACTGGGCATCTGCCAGGATTAACAGCTCTCTGTGCTACTAGTTAATCATGTCAGTGATCAAAAGCGGGGTGGGAGGGAGGGGGTGAGAAAGACAATTACATGTCTCAGCTCTGCTAACACGATACACCAAATTCATCTATTTTCAATTGAAATTTTTCCTATGTCAAAGAAATGATAGATTTGGTCTGTAGTTCTTGTGGGGACTTCTTTTGGGGCAGTTTTTCAGAAGGCCAGTGCTATTCCATGTGCCAGGCTAGGGTCAGGTGCTGATACAAAGCCATGCTAAGGAGCCTTGTCCCACCTACTCTGCAGTTTGGAATTTGCTGGCTGAATGGAGGAGGAGAAAGGCAACCTTCTGTGGAGGTAGCTGAATTCTATTTGGCAAACTGATTACATATCTACATCTACCATAAATTTCTTCTGTGATACTAGATACTGCTAAGCTCAGTCTTCTGTGTGGATAGTGGGTTTGGGTGGATTTTGCTGAGTGTCTGTTTTTTCCCAAATGACTGTTGCCATAAGTTCTGTATGTGTAAATTGGAAAACTTGGAACCTTTTGTAAACAAATGCCAAGTTTTCTCAGGGATCAAGTCAGTGCTATCATAACTGCTGCACGGTACTACAAAGGTGTTAAATACCTTGAAATAATTACATTCTATTCAGGTTCAGTATTTGGAACAAATGAAAAGTTCATAATTTTGAGTTTCCTTCAAAATGCTGGTTTTGGCATATCTGCACCTCATGCTGTAAAGCACCTTGCATGGCTGAGATGCAGTAAAAATCTGAATTGAAGTTGTTTTATTTTGGAAATAACACCTCTTCTCTTACGGAAGAAGTCTTCACAGACTTAACTCCTGACTCACATGTTTAATTCTCTTCTTAGGAATGTCTGTTACGTACAGGTTTCAGTAGTATTAATTTTAAATATGTTTTATCGTTGGAGTGGTGAAAGGAGTTAATTTTCCATTTTTTCTATACCAGTTTAATTTGATCTTTATTCTCAGTGTCAGGAGAAAGAAGTAAAGAAAACTGAAACAAAAGAAAAATCTCAAAAAAAAGAGTCTGAAAAAGAAGAAAAGAGCAGAAAAGAACAAAAGGGCCTAAAAAGTAAGTACTAACTGCTTAGAAGAGATAAGGCAAAGACCCTTCAGGACATTCTCCTTTTACTTCTACAAGAGCAGATATTGTATAGTTTTGTAACACGTACTAGAAACAAGAATTTCTGCTCTTATTTTAGGAAGCAAAAGTCTGCTGTGTAATGGCTTTGTTAATATATGCTTCATGAGAATGCTGTATGTACTTTCATGCACAAAGCATGGAAGTGTGTGGAAATCTCTCAACTTTGTGGACAAGTCAAGATTTTTGCCCTTTTTCATTGAATATTGTCAACTGTGCTTCTGTGGCATGTAACTATAACTTTTTAGAGGGATTCTTCCAACTATTGGCTATTTCCAGGAGTGTTCTGATGATACAATGAATACGCATTTGGTATTTTTAGAAAAGCTAGTAGAGGTTCGCAGCAGACAAACATCTTGCCTCTTACTTTAGCCACAGTAATGGGTTATATACAACCCTTAAAATATCACCGGCACTGGATGATTTAATACATGAAGAAAAATGTCTAGGTTGTATTTCTATTCTTAATAGCATAATGGAGTATTAATGTTACCACTCTTGATCTCAGTAAAATTCTGGATTATTTTATTCAGGATAAATTCCCTCACTACTCTGAGGATGAATTGAGGAAAACTAGGTAATTCTACCTCTGATAATCATGAATGGATATAGGAGGAGCTATGATGCTTCAAATAGCTGTTGCTAGAGAAACATCTTTTGCTGAAAGTAGCATAGATGCTTACAATGCTTAAGAAAAGTAGTAACAACGATTAATTATTGTTCCTTAGACAGCACATGTCCTTCGTCTGTTCATCACAGATACTGAACCATATTTTCAAAGTAGTAATTCATGCATAATTCTAAACTACATTTCTTAAAAAGAAGATGGTACCATGTTGAAAGCAGTCAGAACTCAGACTTGCCAGGGTAGCTGGAGGTGAACCAGCTCTTCCCAATTTTTGGCTTTTGCTGTTAAGCTTGCTCCTATGCTTCAGCAATGATTAACTTACAGAAAGGGAACGGACCTTTTCTAAATGGACTCTGGTCACTCACTTAAACTTTGTATGTAATAGTCTTTAGTGGCTCAAGTAGTCACTCTTGGTAACTGTCTTAATATTCTAGGCTTTAAGGACATCAAAAGTGCATTTGACTTGTTTAATGTAGCTTCAGAAGAAAAAAGTGAATATTCTGAGAATAACTGCAAAAGAGAAGAATCTTCGCTAGAATATAAATTCATAGAAGAATTAAAATCAAAAGACAGCAAGGTGTACAAGGAAAGGAGGAACGTAAGAGATGAAACAGACACATGGACTTACATTGCTGCAGAAGGTGATCGAGAAGTAGTGGATGTGTGTCAAATGGCGAACTCTGGTGAGCAGTAGAAACGAATGCAGGGGAAAGTTGAGCACTGGCAGTTCCCCAGGAGGCTGAAATGATGTTTTCTTTTGAAACTCACTGATAACTTTTCAGTGTGTTTCCAGTGTGTTTCTGCTATTACAGTGTAATGGAGTGTTCACCATCTCTTATCGCTTCAGCCTAATTTATTACAACAAGGAAACAGTTTGTTTCAAGTAAAAGCATTTCATGTCCGTTTGTAACATAGCCTTCATTGTTCGGAACCATTCCACGCTGACTTCCAGAGTCTATTTGAATGAAAAGTGGTAGTATGTTAGGCTGCTGATCATTGAAGCAATGGCAAGCAATGAATGGTTTGGGAATTCATGAGTTACTTATTACTTACTTTACGTTTTTTCTTCCATAAAATGAAATACATGATAGATGGCAAGCAACAAGTCTTGAGTTTGGGTATGGACATGCAGTTAGAATGGCTGACACTGGAAGACTTTCAGAACCATCTTGATGGAGAAGATGAGAATCATGTGTCAACAGAACCGATATCAAGTAGTGAGTAGTTGCTGGGAGGAAGGGATGTTTCTTAGCTGGCATTTCAAAGTGAAATATCCTATAACCACAATGAATTTATTTTCTAGCTCTCCTGAGGGATGCTGTTAAAAGTGGAGATTACATGACAGTAAAGATGGCACTTTCTTCAAATGAGGAATATAATCTGGATCAAGAGGTAATTTTTCTGCAGTAGAGCTGTTGCAGGGTGTGTGGGGGGTGGGGGGAGTATGAATGTGGCTTGTTGGGAAAGTTTTCCAACTAGTTTTCCTACTCTTGCTAGTAGCAGATTTCTGTCTCGCCTTGGAAAAAAAGCACAAGGTGAGAAAGGGAGTATAGAATTTGAGGCTTTGATATTACCCATTTCTTCCGAAGAAAAAATGAAGTTTGATAGAAGTATAGTTTGATAGAAGTATCCCCGTAGCTGGATTTGCAGCAGATTTGCCCACTGGATTTAACTAAATATTAGATTTAAACTTTATGTGGTATAAGGAATGATAATACCCATCACAGGTCAAGTGGCTAAACTATGTTAAACATCTATACGTGGAGGGGAAAAAAAAATTTGAATTTTCTGTTTGACAGACTGGAACTGCTTCACTCTGTGAATAATTAGTTTTCTGCCAGTTCTTCATCACCTGCGTTCTTACTGTTTTTTCTTTCAAGGATCTATTTTCCTGTTAAATAGTACTATAATTCCATTTTTGAAGATTAAAACCTCTGATACCAGTATTTTCACTGGTGATCTTGTGTAGTTATATTGTGTAGCATTTCAAGAACTATACATTATGCTAAGACTTCTGTAGCATAGTAGAAAAGATGCCAGGTGAACTACTGAGGCAAGCGTCTGGTTTTGAATTGTAGTGTCTGGTGGAAAATGCAAGAATGAATGAAGAGACTGGCTGCTCGCAGAAGTCTCTTCATACTTGCACTTCGATATAGCAGCATTGTGGTAGCAGTTGACTTGAGCCATCATGTTTTTCCTCCAGTGGCTGCTGATTTCTTTTTCTACTGTTTTGCTGTCTCCCCCACCCTCAAATACCTTGCTGCCTTTCTTACATGGCTCATTCTGTTTTTCCTCCTTCTTGTTCTGGTCCTTGGAATGTTGCGGGTTTTGCAGATTATGGAGCTCAGAGTGCCTGTGGACAAGAGAAGTGGGAGGTGATAGTTTGTTGGTATCTGGCAGTCATGTATGTGTGAATTCTTCTGCCGGAGAGGGGGATCTTTGTGAAACCTGTTGACGCACTTGCAATTTTTATCTCGTGGCTTTGATTTATCTTCAATTTTTTTTGTTCTTTTTTGGTTTGGTTGGTTGGTTGGTTTTGGGTTTTTTTAATGGCAATGATTCTTGTTGCAGGACTCAACTGGAATGACCCTAGTAATGCTTGCTGCTGCTGGTGGGCACGATGACCTCCTCCGGGTCCTAATCAGGAAAGGAGCTAAAGTTAATGGTAGACAGAAAAATGGAACAACTGCATTGATACAGGCAGCTGAAAAGGTTGGCTTGGTTATTGTCGTATTCGTGGTTCTTGGCTCTTTTACTTAAGTTTAAAAGTGGTACACAATTTCTTTTTCCCCTGGACGATTCCTGAAAGGTAGTTAGCAGGATATAGCAGGGTGACCATAACTGTGATTACTGTAGTGTAAATAAATTCTGATCATCATAAACCCTACCCTGAGTAGAGAATAGCATAGGGCTACGTCGAGGGAAAGTGGAGGCAAAGGATATCTCTGAGTTTCTGTCATGGGGGCTGAAATTCTTGTGTTAGCATTGCTTGTTACGATCTTTGGCTACACAGGATCCAAACTTGGGAGACTTTGAGAGCAAATCTGATTAAGCAGGGTTTACTATTTGGGAGTTGGGAGATGGAGATGGTGGCAAGCTCTTCTCAAACTAAGACCAAGTAGACTACTAAGTTAGAGGATGTTTCATGGGTGTGCTCTTTTGTTCAAGATGTTTCAGATATTTTCCCATGTACAGTAGATACAAGGCCAGAAGAGAGCTTGAGAGCAGTTTGGTGATTAATGCAAGCATACTGTTTTCTTCCTGTTAACTACTGCAAGATTTAGAAAACAGAATTGTAAATACTCATGGCTGTCTACTTGCCTGAGTCTAAATTGCTCTCTATTAGCCATGGGAGAGAACAATGTTTATTGTGTCATGCCTCATGCTTTGGATTTTACTGATGGGTTTTAAATAAATGTCGCTTTATATTCTGAAAGAAAACCAGAATATTTTCTACTTACTCATCTTGTGGTTTTGTTTTTTTCAGAATTTTCTAACAACAGTAGCTATTCTTCTGGAAGCTGGGGCATATGTGAACATGCAGCAGAGCAGTGGTGAAACTGCTTTAATGAAGGTAAATTCAGTGTTTTTCCTGACACAGTTTAATAGTAAATACTTTCGGCAAACTAATAAAACACAAAAGCATATTTGTAGAGTTGATTTAGGGCACATGTACTATATTTGAAATGCAAATACCATTCTTAGTTATTGAGGCAGTGTTTTAATCTATTTTTCTAATGTAGTGTTATATCTAAAGAATAAATGCAAATGCCATCAGCATACAGTGCTAAATGCGGCTCATTGTCCTCTTCCCTTGTTTGGCTCAAAGAAATGCAGATGTGGCCTTAATTTGTTTGTCAGCAGGCAGAGAAAAATTCTGGAAAGGAGAATCTTTCACTTTGGTGTTGCTATGTTTGACTTTTGTTGTTTCATCACAGGCCAGAAATAAAATAACTGGCTTGCAGTCTCCTTCCCTAGCCTGTTCTGCACCTTCACTCCCTTCTGTCACAAAGGATTTTTTTGTTTTTAATTTTGTTGTAATGGGAAAATTCTAAGACTCTTAAAGCAGTCTGTGCTCCGCTTAAATACTTTTTTTGTTTGTATCAAATCATTTCACCAAAGTTCCCCTTCCTGATAAACTTGCTGTATTTATGTAGGCTGTTTAAGGCAGTTGGTTTGCAGAAGAGGTGATAAAAGCTTTTCTGCCTGAGACAGTGTGGCATTGTTCCTTTTCTATCCTCTGCAAGGCTTAACAAGTG